TTCATGCTTCTCTGGAAACCACAGTCAAGGAGATACACAGGAAGATGAGAGTGGTGAAAGGCTTGAGATGGCTGGTCAAGAGAGTAATTGCAGACTGTGTAAAGTGCAGATTGGTAGAGAAGAAAACCTTGGAACTGAGGCTAGCTAGTCATCCTGAAGCAAGAACAGTCCTAGCTCCATGTTTCACTCTTGTATGATGGATATTTGCTACAGATTTAAAGGTCAAACTTACAAAAGGTCCAGAGCGGTTATCAAGATCTATGGGTTAGTAATAGTATGTCTGTTGACTGGAGCTACTAACATAATGGCTTTGGAAGGGATTGAGACTCAAGATGTTTGTGCAGCTCTAGAACGACATTCAGTGCCTGGTTTTGTGTATGTGGACAACGGAACCCAGCTCAAGGCCCTGCAGTACGCGAAGTTCTCCGTGAGGGACCTGGATGCGATGGAAGACAACCTAGGGATGAAGATCATTGTTTCCAATGCCAAGGCGCACTCTGAGAGGGGAAGAGTTGAGAGAAGGATCAGGGTTCTCCGAGAAACCATGGAGAAGATGGGAGTGAATAGTTCTCATCCTATGAACTGCTTACAGTGGGATACATTATTCTCTAGGATATCCAACTCAATAGATCACCTCCCCTTAGCTTTAGGAAATACTTCAAATGAAACTGCTCTGGGTTATGAGATTATTACCCCCAATAGATTGAAATTAGGACGGAATAATTACAGATCTTTGGAGGGAAGTGGGATTGATTTGGAAATGAGCTCAAATTTCACAAAAATTCTTGAAAGAAACCGGACCATTTACCAACAATGGTACCAGGGTTTCATTGATAATATTCATTTTTTGAGTTTGAGGCCTAATAAATGGTTGAAGTCTGGTCGAACCCCAGTGATTGATGATATTGTGTGCTTTGTGTTTAATGATTCTAGCTGCTCCAAGGAGTCTGTGTATTGGAAACTTGGGAGGGTAACGGGGGTTAGTGGTTCTAAAGTTACTCTCAAGTATTCGTTAAAGGCCAAGGGAAATGAGCAAACAGTGGTAAGGAGTATGAGGGATGTCAGTATAGTTTATGCAGTAGGGGAATTTTTAAGCAATACCTTAGATCATTTCAATGATTGTGCAAAAGATCACCAAACCTCGGAGCTGATGTCCAAAGTTTGCTGCATGATGGGGGGGGCTAGTATCTTAATAAACAGAGCACACATAATTTTAATCACTGGTATGATGGATGATATTTGGTTAGGAGTTTTCAAAATGATAAAAATGTATTTGTCTAGACTGCTGACGAAGGAGGATTTCCGGAAGGCTGTGAAGGAGAGATGGACAGCGGAGAGGAGCGTAGAGTTCGAGGAGAGGATGAGGATGTTGATCCCTGCCCAGTTCCCCAAGGTTTGGGGAGAGACCAGGATCGCCAACAAGATTGCCATGGTAGGAGAGCTGGCGGGAAAGACTCACAGGATCAATACAGGAGGTGATGAGAGGTATATGTCATTGTATCTCAGGAGAGTATCTCACTCTGGGTTGGACTGGCCTAGCAAATTGACCCTGGACAAATTTTTGCCTCTACACGCCCCTCTCCTTGATTTCCCTGTGGAGGATACCAAGAGGATTGAGGCGTGGAAGTACCCCAAGCTAGAGGAACTAGAGAAGTATCAGAGGATCAGGGGGTTGGATTTGAAGTTGTTGGATAGGATTGAGGTGAAAGAATTGGTCTGTGGAGTATCTTCAGCCTCTGAGATCTTAGAGGTGAAGGAATGGATTGAGAGGATGCAGAACGCGGATCAAAGGATGTTTGGAACCCGGATTGTGTCCTTTGATGTGGAGGATGTAAAGGCGACATACTTCGACACTCTGAGGATGGCCGGGAAAGCTACTATTGATCCCAAGAATGCGATTCTGAAGAGGAAGTGCGATCCAGAGATGATGACAGATGCCTCTAAGGATACGTTCAAGCAGATTCCTGGCAAGATCATGTTCGGGAATGGAGTATCATGGACCTGCCTGATTTCACTGGATCTGAGGAGAAACAAGAGGAAGGAGTACGTGTTGGAGAGGATGACGGTTCAGCCGGAGTTGCTTGATTTACTCCATGATCTCCCTGTATCTGCTGGACTTGCAATCCGGAGAGATATTCGGGGAGTGGAGGAGTTTTATTCCTTGATCTTTGGTGAGGAGGTGAGGTTAGAGAGAGGATTTATTGATCTTACGTCTCTAGCCGTTCTAGCCGGATATAAGTTCCAGTCAAGAAACATGACAGCGATGGGAGTGCAGGTTATTGGAACTCTCCTGAATAAGAATGTTTCTACAGGAGATGACTGGTGGGGAGAGAGGTGGCAGTTGATTCCTGAGTCCCTGAAGTGTTACGCGTTGGGGGATATCCAGTTCGGATTCATGACCTATAATATCCTGGCAGGATTGCTGTTGAGAGATGTTTTCCCGGACCCGGATGTTTTGTGTAGGTACATGAAGTGCAGTCATAAGGAGGCGGCAGACTGTTTCCTGGAGTTCCTGATGGTGTCACTGGAAGGGGTGGAGTATCATCAGAAGGCAGAAGAGGAAGCTGAGACGAGGGAGGAGATGGTTCTTTCTCTGAGGTACAGGAATGAGAGGGAGAAGCTGTGTGAGTTTTCTCCTCCTCTGATCCGGTTGTGGACTCAGATTCTAGGGAAGTGGCCCGCTCCTACTTCTGGAGGATGTCGGTATCTACTGGAGGCGAGGGAGTGGTTTTTGGCCCAGATGGCTGTCCTGGCCCAGGTTGGATACACGTGGTCCAAGGGAAGGAGGTTGGAGCCCCTTGGGAGAGAGGAGAAGGAATATGCCAGGTTTGGACTGGAGCCTGAAGAGTTAGAGAAGCAATCTTGGTTGGAACCAGTGGAGAGTTTCAGAGGCTTGGAGAGGCCGAAGAATCTGAGAATCCTGTTGTTGGTGTTGAACATGGAGAGGATCAAGAGCAAGGAGATCGGTGAGAATTGTACGCTGATAGGAAGATGCCAGAGATGGTCTCTGTTGGAGTGGGCCAGGATGAACCCCTGGGACCTGTGCAAGTTCTTTACAAGGATGGAGAAGGATGTAGGGTTCCAGAGGTTTTATGGAGGATTGTACGATGCTATGTGCCTGTGCTACAGGAGTATCATGGACAAGAAGGCTCCAGCTGTGGAAACTACGGAGAAGAGGTTGAAGGCTGCAGTACTCCAGTCACTGGAGGAGGAGTCTGAGGGGTTGAGGAAGTGTGAGGAGGAGTTGAAGGTGAGAAGGATGAGGGTTGATAGGTTGACCAGGCTTTCAGCAGACTGGGAGTATGAGGAGCGAACTAAATGGAAAGGAGAAGTTCCTGCTCTACCCACTCCCAAGGTGAGGTCAGGAGTGAAGCGGAAGAAGAATCCTAGGCCGGGGAAGTTGAAGAGGTTGAGGATGAGGAGCTCAAGGGAGAGTGTGGCTGAGTCTATTGCTGAGGAGCCGGTTGGCCTCTCTTCGTCCCAGCCTTCTCCTGGTCCATCCAGAGATAGGAGTGGGTTCGGAGAGAGTGTCTCCGGGCCTCAGCAGGAGGATGGCTGTGAGGAGGTGGTGATGCTGGGTGAGGAGGATGATGTGTTCCTGGAGGCTGAGGAGGGGAGGACAGAAGAGGTTGCCTCTCCTAAGAGGATGAGCGCAGCTTTGAGGTTCTCCAGGAGAGTCGTGGAGCAAACCCCTACCTATGATGAGATGATTGAAGGATCGGCTAGGGTTTCGTTCCCTGAGGATATGGATCTATAGTTGGATGTTCCCTGGGAGGACAGGATGTTTTAAGAAGTGAAGGATTACGTGAATTCAAACTATAAAAGATTCCAGTGATTGTGTTTCAGGTCTAGTTGAGTTATCAGGAAGATCAAGTCGCGGGGTGCAGATGGAACTTTTTTCGTTTTCTCTTGGCTGGGCGAGTGTTACGCGAGCCATGCTGCGTGTATAAAGTCTATGTGGTGCCCCTGTGAACTCCTGAGTTCTCCCTGCGGATCTGTACAGAACGTATTGTAAAAAACTAGTTTTAGAAGCTGTTTCCAGACCGACTACGCATGCGCAAGTTTCTCACGTGGAAGCGGACAGTTTCTACCGTAGTATATATTTGTTTGTCTTGCAAGTTCGTTTATTATTAAGTTCGTGCCAATAATTCTAGGATCACTGCGGTAATTATTCTTTATATATATATGAATATCATTTATTTATGTTCGGTTATGGTTTGATATCTTGTAAATGTATTGGTTCCATTCCACAGTTTTTTAATGCCTGAGTTGATTTATTTGTTGTATTGTATGATTTTATCACTCGATGCTTTTTCTGTGGGTTTATTAAAAATTATTTAGATTGAAGTCTCGGAGAAATAAACGTTCGGAACCATATTATTATCCTTTATTATGGAGAGCAGTCAGAAGAGGAAGGCTCACAATCCTATCTTGAGAAATACCACACGGTACTTATAAAGATTTCATTAGGTCTTTAGGAAAATCGCTAAGTAGCGAAACAATCCTACCTCATCTGTTTCTGATATTGTGGATATGCTTCTATCTAAGACCGGAGTAGGATTCCTACAGTCCATGAGTAGAAAGGTGAAAATCAGGATGAATGCCACAACCTTTATCAATTAAATATATTAAAGCAGAAACAGAAAAACCTCTACCTCTAGTCCAACAATGAACATGATTACCACTAGTCCAACAATGAACATGATTACCACTAGTCCAACAATGAACATGTTTACCTCTAGTTCAACAATGTACATGTTTACCTCTAGTCCAACATTGAACATGTTTACCTACAATGAACATTATTACCTCTAGTCCAACAATGAACATGTTTACCTCTAGTTTAACAATTTACATGTTTACCTCTAGTCCAACAATGAACATGTTTACCTCTAGTCCAACAATGAACATGATTACCTCTAGTCCAACAATGAACATGTTTAATTCTAGTCCAACAATGAACATGTTTACCTCTAGTCCAACAATGAACATGATTACCTCTAGTCCTACAATGAACATGATTGCCTCTAGTTCAACAATGAACATGATTACCTCTAGTCCAACAATGAACATGTTTAATTCTAGTCCAACAATGAACATGTTTACCTCTAGTCCAACAATGAACATGATTCCCTCAGTTCAACAATGTACATGTTTACCTCTAGTTCATCAATGAACATGTTTACCTCTAGTTCAACAATGAACATGTTTATCTCTAGTTCAACAATGAACAAGTTTACCTCTAGTCCAACTTTGAACATGATTACCTCTAGTCCAACATTGAACATGTTTACCTCTAGTCCAACAGTGAACATGATTACCTCTAGTCCAACAATGAACATGTTTACCTCTAGTCCAACAATGAACATGTTTACCTCTAGTTCAACAATGAACAAGTTTACCTCTAGTCCAACAATGAACATGATTACCTCTAGACCAACAATGTACATGTTTACCTATAGTCCAATAATGAATATGATTGCCTCTAGTTCAACAATGTATATGTTTACCTCTAGTTCAACAATGTACATGTTTTCCTCTAGTCCAACAATGAACATGATTGCCTCTAGTCCAACAATGTACATGTTTACCTCTAGTTCAACAATGAACATGTTTACCTCTGGTACACCAATGAACATGATTACCTCTAGTCCAACTTTGAACATGATTACCTCTAGATCAACAATGAAAATGTTTACCTCTAGTCCAACAATGAACATGATTACCTCTAGACCAACAATGAACATGATTACCTCTAGTCCAACAATGAACAAGTTTACCTCTAGTCCAACAATGAACATGATCACCTCTAGACCAACAATGTACATGTTTACCTCTAGTCCAACAATGAACATGTTTACCTCTAGTTCAACAATGTACATGTTTACCTCTAGTCCAACAATGAACATGTTTACCTCTAGTCCTACAATGAACATGATTGCCCATCTGAATGTAATAGCATCATAGAGAATTCCTCCAACAGTTGGACCTACGGTAAGTTATTTTTTTTTTAACCAAGGTTAACAAACTCGCTAAATTTTCGCATTATTTTCTTCACATTTTTTCGCGCATTCGCACTTTCCATTTCGCTAAAATTTAGCATTTTTTCGAGAAACAGATTAAATGGAAATTTCGCGAAAAAAACTTTTTTTTTGCTTTTTTCGCGAGCGAACGAAATGCGAAGAAAAGCGAAAATTTTCGAAAACATTTTTTTCGCGAAAAATGCGAAATTCTTGCGAAATGATTTTCCCTTTTCGCTGCAAACCCTAATTATCTCCCTGGCACTGCCCTACCCCCCCCCCCCAACCCTTGACCGTCCCTCCTGTAGAACTAGAAAAACACATACCAATTGGTTTTTAACAATTAAATTTCTGGGGGATTGCTCCCCCCCTCTTCCCCTTGTTTTAAGGGTTATGTCGGGTCATTATAGAATGTTTATGTCTTATAACATATTCATTTCCTTTTTGTTTAAAGATAAAATTTTTTAAATTTTGAAATATAGTCATGCAATATATGGTAGTTTCTTCAAAATATTTGTTCTTTCTATGTTTCTAAAGGTCATTAAGAAGTATTCATCTTAATATTTATTATTTTTTAAGGAATTGAGTCTTTTGCCACAAACTCTGATCCATATATCTTTGCAACCCAATGCCGTAGACTTCAGACATTTGAAACTTTTAATTCGGTAAGATCAAACAATCTAAGTTTGAATTGTCAAAGGTTTACACCATCAGGTTGACAAGACATGGTAATTATAAAGTTTGAGTTTGTTGTAAAGATTCCGTTCCTGAATTTACCATGCCATTACTGCCATTTTAAGAAACCTAACATTTGCGTTTGGAAGAAAAGGGATAAAAGCAATAAATTCTGTTTTTTTTCAGCAAAAAATATGTCGAAAATACTCTTTTACCTTTGTGTGATACTTATAAGATGAATATTTGATAATTTCATGTACAGTTAAAATCCTGAACTTAGATTTCAAAGAAATTTTTACATTTTTCCGACCTTATTTTGACTTTTTATTCAACCTTTCAAGTACCAAAACTACAATCCTACACTAGTGACCGCATCAATTTCACTTTAGGAAACACAACTTCGTGAACTTAATCTGCAGTTCTTCCAACTCCAATAAGTAAATATTTCTGGGCTAAATTTTTATTTAACTGTTTTGTATTAGAATTCTCAGGGGCGATTTTCTGGGAGGGGGGAGGGCGGGGGGGGGAAGGGCAGTACTTTTAAAATATTTGGAAAAATACATTACATATCTCTTACTTGCTTCTAAAGAAAGTCAAATCCTTTTATTTATGATTTTTTATCAAAAAAATCATTATTTGGATTCAACTTGCATGCAACATGCTTTACAATTAATGTGTTCAAAAAAGAAAAATTTTGAGAGAAAACAGCCAGACTGGTATTTTCTTTCATAAAATGTTAAAAGAAATCCCTAATTTTGATACAAACAAGAGGAGAAGAAAATAAGAAAATATGAACTGTAATCAAGGGGAAGGGACGGATATAAATGGGAATGAAGAAGTTTAGAGGAGGAAGGGGGGTGGGGGGGTTACAAAACTAGTTGGTTAGAGAAGGGGGAGGGGGGTTGTGTCAATAATGCCGCACTACACCTTTATTAATTGCTATTTTGTGGTTTGCACATTGGGAAAATAACAAGTTTTTCTAATAAACTCTGTCATAAAATCAACAAAGTATAAAATTTTCTTTGCAAAGTTATAAATTGAAAATTGTCTTCTTCCAAATGTCAATGAAATCATTGTTTTCGTCACAAATAAAATATCGTCCGTTGAAGACCGTCATGAGCAAAAGATTCTATACAATTTTTTATTAGAATCCATTTTTTTACCCCCATTGGGTTGGCTTTTAAAGAGACTCTATAAACGTTATGTTGGGTCTCGACCGAAAAGGAATATGAACTGTTCCAATCAAAATACATTTTTTCATGAACACAATTAACGACGTTACAGCTCTTGAAAGGACGGGGCCAAGTACTTTTTAGTGACCTATAAGAGATACTGCATGATAGATTCAGAAAGGTTCCCTCTTAAATCACTTTCTGGTCCGAAATAAAGAAAATATTAATTTCCTTCCAATTCCGTTGCTAGTCAATTTTATTGAAAAACTGCAAAAAATAAATAATAATTTTCAGAAAAGAAACCTAGAAAATGTTCATGATTTTAGCTAAGAAATTGGTCTACAATGCACCACTGTTGATCATTAATTTGCCAATTTACTTGAATTCTAACTTAACGTACCTACAAAAGCTCCAAAGGCGAAAACTGAAGCAAAAAGACCAGAAACTAGCCCGTAAGTCTCGATAGTATCTGGGAATCCACATCTAACCAGTTTAATTTAGAATATTTATAAATTATATTTGTTGAAAGTATTAACACATCTGTGAAATGAGCTGGCATGACTGAGAAGAAAATTCAGCTTTAAGCAACAATGAGAATTCTTTATATTTCATTAGTCAAGAAATATTGTTGAAGTTTAAGCAAGTATGCTCAAATTTAGGGTAGGGCATCGTCAACCAATGGGCTGACATTTGTTTTTGTAATAATTTTTATGGATGGTCAAAATTTCGTTTTTTAATCATTAAAATCCATCAATATTGTGTGTTAAGTGCCTTGAAAAGTAAGATTTAAACCCAATAATTATCACTAGAATTGGGTCGCAATGCACCCTAAACGTGTTTAAAAATGGGATAAAAATGATGCCTATCTCTACCTAAACTCAGATTCTTGTCTTGACAGCTGGAAAGATTAACAATGTGTATTTTGAAAACTGAAGTTTAAGATGTTATTCTAAAAACTAAATTGTAAGATATTATTCTAAAACTAAATTGTAAGATATTATGTTAAAAACTAAATTGTAAGATATTATTCTAAAAACTAAATTGTAAGATGTTATTCTAAAACTAAATTGTAAGGTGTTATTCTAAAACTAAATTGTAAGGTGTTATTCTAAAACTAAATTGTAAGATTTTATTCTAAAAACTAAATTGTAAGATATTATTCTGAAAACTAAATTGTAAGGTGTTATTCTACAACTAAATTTTAAGATGTTATTCTAAAAACTAAATTGTAAGATATTATTCTAAACCATAAATTGTAAGGTGTTATTCTAAAACTAAATTTTAAGATGTTATTCTAGAAACTAAATTGTAAAATATTATTCTAAAAACTAAATTGTAAGATATTATTCTAAACCATAAATTGTAAGGTGTTATTCTAAAACTAATTTTTAAGATGTTATTCTAAAAACTAAATTGTAAAATATTATTCTAAAAACTAAATTGTAAGGTGTTATTCTAAAACTAAATTTTAAGATGTTATTCTAAAAACTAAATGGTAAAATATTATTCTAAAAACTAAATTGTAAGATATTATTCTAAACCATAAATTGTTAGGTGTTATTCTAAAACTAAATTGTAATATGTTATTATAAAACCTAAATAGTAAAATATTATTCTAAAAACTAAATTGTAATATGTTATTCTAAAAACTAAATTTTAAGATGTTATTCTAAAAACTAAATTGTAAGATGAATTATTTTAAAAACTAAATTGTAAGACATTATTGTAAAAACTAAATTGTAAGATGTTATTCTAAAACTTTTTTTAAAATGTTATTCTAAAAACTAGATTTTAAAATGTTGTTCTAAAAACTAGGTTTTAAAATGTTATTTTAAAAACTAAATTGTAAGATGTTATTCTAAAAAATAAATTTTAAAATGTTATCCTAAAAACTTTTCCTTATCGCTGATTTGTGTACGTCTGTAAACCCTCCAACCACTGATGCTCCCAGACCCAGACCGTGGATACTCATACCAGCAATTATGGAACCTATAAAAACAAAATGTATTATTTTACAAAACAATTTACCATTTCACTAAAAGTTTGTAGGTATGTTTTTAACTAATTATAATTTACAATCTTTTATTGTGACTGGCGTACGCAATTTCTGTAACCCCCTATATTTATTGGCATGAAGCAGTTTTCTTTTCTTATAAATATTAATCGTTTTCTTCTGAGAGGGTTCTTCACAAAAATGACTTGTACATTCTGCATCAGGGGAAAGAATGAAAATTTTCAGGATTGAGCCGTTTTTAGATGAAAAAACGATGGTATTTACCTAGCTTTTGCCCAGGTAAAGTTAAAAATGTAACGGTGTCAATCCAACATGGCACCCAATAGTTGGAGGATCAATTGAAATAACGTCTATAATCCCTTTAAGAAGGGATTAAAAAAATGAGTTTACCTAAAGTTTTCCCGAAAGGAAGATACTTGAAGGGACCTAGAATGAAAAATATTAAAAAGAAGTTGAAATGTAATAAATGGATTCTCGTGAAACGGAATCATTAATCATAAATTTGTTCGGCATTTGATCCATTATACAGATATTATCCTATAGCTAGGGATTATGGAGAAGCTAGAAGAGATGTTATTTCTCGCGTTAAAGGGAGTGATCGCATATAAATTGTAGTTGAGCTGAGAGTGCAGTATCGTAAAGATTTTTTTTTTGAATTCATTTCAGACCTATAAGACGTTTTACAGTGTAAAATATTCACAAGAGTGAAAATCCGTTCTTTAAAATTCTCTCTGGCGCCCGCCTACTCTGCAGGTGGTGGCATGGCACGTCTACTCTGCAGGTGGTGGCGTAGCACGTCTACGCTGCAGGTGGTGGCCTAGCACGTCTACTCTGCAAGGGGAGGCTTGGCACGTCTGCCCTGAAGGCATGGTGGCCAGACACGTTTGCCCTGCATACATGGTGGCGAGGCACGTCTGCCCTGCAGGCATGGTGGCGAGGCACGTCTGGCCTGCAGGGGTTAGCGTGGCAGACCTGCTGCGGTCACTCCCTTTAAAGGAATGATTCAATTATTTAAACACGCACATAATGAAGAGTACAAGTTTTTAAAACCAAAAAAATGTTTTCAAAAAAGTGAACAATCTCCTTTAAGAAGATTAGTTTTCCAGCTCCTTTTATCAAAAATATAAGAAGAGGATAATCTTTTGCAAGAAATAGAAAACTAAAGATAAAATAATTGTTCAATTCTGCGAGCTAAGAAAATACAATTTCCCAAAAATATAGAATTGAAAAGAAAATATTTGAATTACTTTTTTACTTAAAGAAAACACAGACACTTTAAAGGGGGACTCGGAAATAAGCGTGTTTGGCAAAAATGAGATAAATTTTCTGTTAATTGTCTAGTGTTTTTTTTATTTTTATTTATTTTAAAATTCGTTTACAACTTTTCCTGTTTTTTTTTAATAAAAAAATTTGAAATTTTATTAGTTATTCTTTATTCATTGAAAATAATTATTTTCAAAAATAAAAATGCATTTTCCCCAGCAGATACTATAATTAAGTTTTTAATTTTTAAAGTTTTTATTGAGAAAGAACATTTTACTATAGACCGGACTCAATGAAAATCGAGAATTAGTTGAACTCGGGACAAGAAGCTGAACTACTTAGCTATTGTGGTTCAACACCTCCTCCTAATTCATTAATATCTGACCTACTCTATTATTAAAATAATTGAGTCTTTGCCACAAACTCTGATTTTAATCCCTATATCTTTGCAACCCAATGTTGTACACTTTATAAATTTAAAATTATGAATTTTGTTGGATCAAATGATTTAAGTTGGATATATCAAAGGTTTACACCATCAGATTTAAAAAATAAAGGGATCTGAAAATTAGAGTTAGTAGCAGAGACTCAATACTTTATACTTCATCCCGTCCTACCTAGCACCATAAATCCCATAGCAATGAGTACAGATCCGAAAAGTTCAACATATTTAGGAGAATCTCTACAACCAACTTTGATTCTTACTAATGTTAATTTTATAAAAGAATAATAAAAAAGTAATACATTTTTTTTCCAACGAGACAAACATACAAATTATATAAAATCTATTTATAAGAGAGAATCATTTACTCTTATAAACATTAGAACCAATTCAATGGATTAGAATTGAATCCTTCAGGGTTTATATTTCCATTAAATTTCTTTTTTTTCTGAGAGTTAATGATCTTTCTTTGAATGTAAAGACCTGGTTTTATATGAACCTGCTATATATGAGCTTTTAGAATAGCAGGATTCATTGAAAATAGCTTTTTATCAAGAAATGATAATGAATGAATATCTATTTTTAATTAAATAACAATATTTAAAACTGTTTAAAATCAGAATACATATGTATTTCACGAAATCATTGCTACTGGTTAGTCATTTTTCTGTCCATTGGAACTTTTAGGGACTTGTCCCCATGGACAAGAACAGTCTAGTTTTCAGGGTCATTCAGTCCTGAAAACAAACGCTGACCCCCCCCCCCTGTAGGAAAGACAACAAATTAAAGCCAAAAGAGAAAATTTCTGTTTATGTTCCATTTTTAAGTATTTTTGAATCCTGACGTTCCGAGAACCGAGAACACGATCTACGTATCATCATTAATTTCCCCTATTCAACTTTTGCAACCATCCATAAACAAATTGCAAGTAATGATTCTTTGTATTAATGTTTGATATGAATCACCACGTGTAACTATACAGGATCGATTCAATTTATATATTCAAAAAATTTGAAACATAATCATTTTAAAGTTCAAAGAGGAATATTTTAGAAGAAAAACATGTAATACTTCAAGTACTAAAGGGCCTGTAAGCGTAATTTCAAGCTACTCTCCAATGTAAAGATTTCAATTTAAGATTTAAACGGTGTACCTTGAAATCTTAATTTGATCAAAAATGTTTAATTGATTACATAGCTTTTCTAACTCGAAAATTGCTTATTTCTGTGAATTTCCCAATTAGTTATCATAATCAGGAAATGTTCAAGTTACTTTTGCAAAGAAACCACAAAAATAAATAAACGGTTTAAATAAACAAAAAATATATAACTGGATTTTGCGATAAAAAATTCAATTTTTGCAAATTTGCAGATTCTAAAAGTAGAGCACAAGAGCTTTCTAATGATGTATCATTTGTCATATTTGGACATCAAACATGGGATTTAGAGGGGGTCAAATTGAGCCCCCCCCCCCAGCATATCCTGGTTTTCAAGTACCCTAGCAGGGATAGGGTTAAGCGTAACTTTGTAGACCGAAAATTGCATTATTTGTATAAAATGCCATTTGAATTTACGCTTAGAGTCCCTTTAAACGTTGTTTTCGATTTGTGGACAACATATATAATTTGTGAGCAGTCTCTTTAGATGTAAAGTTGGTTCCTGGTTAGTTTTGAATCACAGACCATTCCCCAAAGAGGTAAACTTAACCCATATGTTCCTCCGACCACCATAAACAGAGCTCCACACTAACAAATAGGGTTAACAGGGACTCAAACAAATTCGTAATAAGATTTCGATTCCACTGGAGACCACTGGAGGGATTTTATTTTCACTGGAGGGGGTTTGAACAATAACTTTTACAATTTGAAACTTTACGCAGGGTGATTTTCAATCCACTGCACTGAAGGGATTCAGATATCTGTTCAGGGAAATAATAAACCCCCCAGGAAGGATATCTGAATTATTAACCCCTTGAAATAAATCTGAATCCCTCCAGTGGAAATATAAACCCCCTGGAAAGATATCTGAATCCCTCCAGTGGAATTATAAACCCCCTGGAAGGATATCTGGTTCCCTCCAAAGAAATTATAAACCCACAGGAAGGATATCTGTATCCCTATAGTGGAATTATAATTCCCAGGAAGGATATCTGAATCCCTCCAGTAGAATTATAAACACCCTGGATAGATATCTGAATCCCTCCAGTGGAATTATAAACCCCCTGGATAGATATCTGAATCCCTCCAGTGGAATTATAAACCCCCAGGAAGGATATCTGAATCCCTCCAGTGCAATCATAAACCCCCTGGATAGATATCCGAATCCCTCCAGTAGAATTATAAACTCCCTGGAAGGATATCTGAATCTCTTCAGTGGAATTAAAAACCCACTGAAAGGATATCCAAATCCCTCCAGTGGATTTATAAACCTCTATGGATTGATATCTGAATCCCTTCAGTGAAATCATAAACCCCCTAGATAGATATCCGAATCCCTTCAGTGGAATTTTGAATCCCTTTGATAAATATCTGAATCCCTCCAATGTAAATCCCCCTGCGTAAAATTTTAATTTTAATTTCAAACCCCTCCACTGGAATTGAATTCCCTCCGGTGATCTCCAGTGGGGTTAAAATCTTACTACGAACTCAAATTTTCACATTTTGTGCGCAAACTATACAATTGGTTTTCTTTCAATGCTCAATTATCATTTTTATTATCATTTTAAGTAAATCCGCTCATTTAAAAAAAAAAAATGGCCGAAAGTTGGTTTCCACAATGTCACACAGAAAATTGTTGAAAGCCTACTGAACAATATGAAAACTTCAAACATTAGACACAAAGTTAAAACCCTCTCTGAGAATTCTAAATGGATGAAAACAGTAAAACAAAAATTAGATAAAAGGACTGTTTTCTTAATAAGCTTAAACCTAGAGACTAGACTAGACTAGACTAGACTAGACTAGACTAGACTAGACTAGACTAGACTAGACTGCTATACCTGGAATGGAGTTAAAGGTACTCCGTAAGGTTTAATATCATGAAGATGAGGTTCAAGAGTTGTCTGAAGGAATCCTATACTTGCAGCCGCAGATCCAACCTGGGGATTATTATTATTATTTATAAAACTATTGATAATGATAGTGAAATAGATGATAATTATAATAATAACAATAATAATAATAATGAAAATAATAATAATAATAATAATAATAATAAAAATAATAATAATAATAATGATAATAATAGCATTGAATTAGAAATCATAGATTGCACTTAAAACACAGGATTTCTCTTTCAGCAAATAAATTTGATTTTAAATTTAAGAAAATCGGCTTTTTCACTCCAAATTAAAGAAACTGAAGAGAACATTAACAAAATATTAAATGATGATGATGATGATGAATTGAAAATATCAATTTATGATAACAATGAAAATAATTAATATTAATTGATTACCTTAAATAGAGCAATAACTATTGCTGGTTTAGTGAGGGCTGAGAGCATACTGGGTTTAGGTCCCCTAAATACATATTTTTTAGAAAATAGAATATTTAATATTAAACTTGTTAATTTCCCAAACTGAAATATTTTAAAATTAAATTCTGGATGATAAAGAAACAATTTTATTTCAACTTTTTAACTTTTTTTTCTGGATTAAAAAGATTTTTTAAAATAACTTACGTAAGTTCCTGTTTATAATAGTTAAACTTTATTTTTTTACCATTTTTTTTGTTTCATTGACTTTTCTTGCAGAAGAAAGATGATATTTTCTTTATATAAAGTTACATAACAGAGGGTTTCGAGTTTCAACTGTAAAGGGAGTGTACGCCGATTTTGAAAGAAAACATAAAAATTGAAAATTTTATTTCTACATTAAATGAAGACTAGTTGGAGAACCCGGTGTTGGCCAGGTTTATATTATTACTCATAGTTACTCCTGCCGTTTACCCGCGCGTAGTATAACATCATTATTTTAGCTGAAATGCCAGATGTTGCCCGTGGAATTTCGAACATTTCAAAACATTTTTAGCCCATAATACCCCCGGGGTACCCACGGGTTCTTTTAAAAAATGTCAGCCAATTTGGTCCAGTCGTTTGGTCCTCTATAGCTAACATACTTACATGAGTGAAGAGCTTTGTCATATAGGTAAACATTTTTCGATCCTTCTTTTAGATATGTTCGGGACGTTTTTCCAAAAAGTCTGCTAAAAACTGTGAAATCAAAACAAATTTTTTTACCCTTTGTTAAATTCTTGAAAGCCTCTTTAATTAAAACTTACAATGTCTCGGAGGGAGTGTCCGGAAGGAAGAAGAAAATAAAAATGGAGGAAGTAAACAGAAGTGATCCCATCACAGCAAACGGAAGTGTGAAACCTAGAAGTAAAGGGAAGTTATCCATATTAGTAAACGGAAGTGTGAAACCTAGAAATAAATAGAAGTTATTCATGTCAGCAAACGGAAGTGTGAAACCTAGAAGTAAAGGGAAGTTATCCATATTAGTAAACGGAAGTATGAAACCTAGAAGTAAAGAGAAGTTACCCATGTTAGCAAACGGAAGTGTAAAACCTAGAAGTAAAGACAAGTTATTCATATTAGTAAACGGAAGTGTGAAACCTAGAAATAAATAGAGGTTATCCATGTCAGCAAACGGAAGTGTGAAACCTAGAAATAAATAGAAGTTATCCATGTCAGCAAACGGAAGTGTGAAACCTAGAAATAAATAGAAGTTATCCATGTCAGATAACGGAAGTGTGAAACCTATAGACGGCAGTATAAAACCTGGAAATAAAGAGAAATTATCCATGTCAGCTAACGGAAGTATAAAACCTGGAAATAAAGAGAAGTTATCCATGTCAGTAAACGGAAGTGTGAATCCAAAAAGGAAGTATAAACTTATATTTAAAAAGATAAAGATAGTGAACCCAAAAGTTCATAACAATAATACTGATTAAAATTGCCAGACCCAGCGGTATGTTCCAATTTAAATTGCGTAGTTCTAATGGCAATGTTTGATTTCTTGCTTCTTTATGACAGAATTTAAAGAGGGGGGTTAAACAATATTCATAATCAAATATTTCTTTTAAAATCTGTTTTGCCCAAATACTCGGGGGGGAGTGGGTGTATTAATTGACCTCATTTGAATTTTATTTTTAAACTTTAAAGGTTTTAAATATGAAAACCATCTCTTTCCAACTCCTAGTTTTCATAATAAAACTAAGTTAGAATAATAAGAAGACGCTTAGAATATATATATGTAATTCAGATTGGGTAGGGATGTACAACATTAATATAAAAAATAAAATCTGTATTAAAAAAACCTCGCGGAATTTTTTGTTTAAATTATAACGGATTTTTCAAAAATCAAAAAAAATTCTCAATTTTTTTGGGCAATTTATTTCAGCCATAAAATTAAGTTACCACGCATAATGTTTACACTTTTTAACACAAAATTTAATAACGAACGAGAACTAACATTTTGTCCAAAAAACAATTCATTATTTTTCTCAATTTCAATGATTTTAGTAATAAAAAGTTTTTGACCTACTTATTACTCCCAGTTCTTTAGTTAAATTCTTTTTTCAAAAGCTTCAATTTCATTTCAAAAGCTTAGATTAAGTAGTTTTCAAGAAAATGATTTAGTTTTGTTGATAAAATTAAAGAAAAAAATTAAAATTTAGTAAAATTTTTAATGAGCAGATTAATACAAGTTCCAACGTACCCATCCCTAGTCCTATGCAATGTATGAGATAAGAAGCTGAAATCGTATGCATAAAATGCATCCAAGCTAAATTGGGTAAAAATATTTTATATAAATTCAGTTTAAGGAATTTTAAACAAACTAGAGATGAACAAATATTAACTCTGAAATGAAAATGTCCACAAAAATTAATTTGAATAAAACTATGAATCAATCGTTATATTTATACTCTATAAATAAAAATCAATTTTTATCATCGAAAATAAGTAATCTTATTCAATTATTAGTTTAAATTATTTCTCATTATTCACAAAGTTTTGCGCTCAATCTCAGTAGTTTTAAATGTTATAAATGTCTCAAATGATTACTAAAAAAAATTTCTACGATACTGCATACTCAGTTCGACCACAGTACGTTGCCGGTCACTCCCTTTAAACCAAAATCTACACAAATGCTTTGACCACTAAAAAGAAAACTCGGGAGTTTCGTTCAACGATACTTTCTTAAAGTTTAGGCTCTTGTATGTACATACGTATTATACTCTTATTGGTTAACCCTCCAACGACGATAATTCCGCGAAAAAAAAACAGTTTTTTCTTCAGACCACTTAAACATTGTTTTTTGCATCCATCGTTCCAAATCCCAAAATGTTTTTTATACAAAAAATTAGATAAATATCAGACATTCAAGAAATAAGAATGGGCATTATAAAAATAGAATCCCAAGTGTATATTTTTGTATAAATAGATATTGCCCATCTAAGTTTGGTCCAAATGTTTTATTTGTATAAAGAACCCACATGAAATAATATTTCTCAACAAAAATATTGGTATCTACAAAACTGGCTGCCCTCATTCATGAAACCGAGTTTCTGATACTGGGTTTCATTAATCGATACTCTGTTTTAAGTTTCGGGTTCTATGAGAATAGTACAAGTGCACTTCTGTACTATCCAAGTTAATTTCTATATTTGCATAGAGAAATATTATCCCTTTGAATAGTACAAGTGTACTTCTGTACTATACAAGTTAATTTCTATATTTCTATAAAGAAATATTATCCCTATAAGAATAGTACAAGTGTACTACTGTACTATACAAGTAAATGTCTATATTTGTAAGAATAGTACAAGCGTGCTGCTGTACTGTACAAGTAAGTTTCTCCATTTTTTATATAGAAATATTATCCATGTAAGAATAGTGCAAGTGTACTGCTGTACTGTACGGATTAGTTTCTATATTTGTAAAATGAAATATTATCCATGTAAGAAAAGAACAAGTGTACTGCTGTACTGTGCGGATTAGTTTCTATATTTGTAAAATGAAATACTATCCATGTAAGAATAGTGAAAGTGTACTGCTGTACTGTACGGATTAGTTTCTATATTTGTAAAATGAAATATTATCCATGTAAGAATAGTGAAAGTGTACTGCTGTACTCTACGGATTAGTTTCTATATTTGTAAAATGAAATATTATCCATGTAAGAATAGTGAAAGTGTACTGCTGTACTCTACGGATTAGTTTCTATATTTGTAAAATGAAATATTATCCATGTAAGAATNCTGCTGTACTGTACAAGTTAGTTTCTATATTTGCATACATAAATATTATCTATTTAAGAATAGTACAAGTGTACTGCTGTACTATCCAAGTTAGTTTCTATATTTGTATAGAGAAATATTATCTATTTAAGAATAGTACAAGTGTGCTGCTGTACTGTACAAGTTAGTTTCTATATTTGCATAGAGAAATATTATCCCTGTAAGAATAGTACATGTGTACTATTGTACTATAAAAGTCAGTTTCTATAATTGTATATAAGGACATGTTATCCCTGCAAAAATAGTACAAGTGTGCTGCTGTACTGTACAAGTAAGTTTCTACGTTTTTATACAGAAATGTTATCAATGTAAGAATAGTGCAAGTCTAGTACTGTACTATACAAGTGAGTTTCTGTATTTCTATAATCTATTTAAGAATAGTACTATCCAAGTTAGGTTCTATATTTGTATACAGAAATATTATATATTTAAGAATAGTGTAAGTGTGCTGCTGTACGGTACAACCTAGTTTTATATTTGTAGAAAGAAATATTACTTCATGTCTGGAATTCTGAGAGAAAAGAAAAATAAAAGATTTTATATTTTGTTCCAACTTTCCAGTGTTCTACCCTTCATGCTTAACATGACACTTTTTAATAAACTACAATATCAACCATAATATACTTTTCTGCAAAAACGTTTAAAGGGACAATCAAAAACTATTCTTAAAGCGACAGTCGACGTAATTTCCAATGGTCCTCAATCCAAAACGTTATTTGCTCGAATTAACTTTATCTTGCTTTGTTGCGAAAACGTTTAAAAAAGCAATTGGAAACGTTTCTTAAACATCGACGTACTTTCCAGTTACCCTTGCTCGAATTCCAGTGGCGTAACATGCTCGAATTCCAGTGGCGTAACATGCTCAAATTCTATTGGCGTAACTTGCTCGAATTTCAGTGACGTAACACGCTCGAATTCCAGTGACGTAGCATGCTCGAATTACCCTTGTATACTTTGCTGCGAACGCGTTTAAAGAAACCTTCGTAAACGTTTCCTTAAAGAGACAGTCAACATAATTTCAATCATGGCTCTCTACAGAGCGTCCCATATCATATTAGATTATCTCCAAGCTTTAATGCCAAAATAAACATATAATATTCGAAAAGCATAGCATTTTCTGCAAGAAAATTTTTATTTTAGCCTTTTTCAATTTTTCATAATGATTTATTCTTCTTAGTTAGTCCCGGAAATTGTAATTTAGACCCATTGACGATCTAATATGATATGGGACACCTTGTATCTAAAACGCCACTTACCCAATTAAAAACGATTTATTGGATTAGGAATAAGAAAGATCTGATTTTTTGAGACTTAAAAATTTTCCAATAAGGGTTATAAATTGACCAAACGATCTAAATTGAATTGGACACTTACGAACACAGCTTATTCATATTCATATAATATATACATGTGACCGTAATCATAGTAATTTTTTTTGGTGAGGGGGGGCGCCAAATCCCCCCCCACTCACACTTTTATTCTTAAACAACTCCTAGCAACCCTGTGAGTTCTATCCTAAGCTTAAAGAAGTTTCTAGAAATAGATTATACAGATCTATATTGTGGTTTTCTTTAACCCTATCCCGATTTTTATAGACAAGACCTCCAACTTTCATGGTTAGGGTCCAAGAGAGGATTTTAAAAAAGTTCAAAAAGTATGTCGGAAAAATGTTTAAAAATAATTATTTTTCTTTTGACAAACATAAACATGTGAAAAATGTTATTCCATTTATTTTTAAAGGGCTTTTCAAATATATAAATTTTAGTACTGTAGCTTGATCAATACAAAAAATATTAACATTTCCGATTTTTTTGAAACATCGACCCACCGTTTGACAGTCGTCCACCATTCCTTATGCATCGAAATAAATTGTTCACAACTATGAAGTTATTAAAGTAAAGAAGTTTAAGCGTTTTAATGTCACCTGTTATTTTAAGTTATTAAAAAACCACATGGGGTGGGGTTGAAACCCCCCCCCCCCCATCGAGATAGGGTTAATGTTTATATAAATTCTATTTACAACAACCTTTCAGAGCACAGCTTTTCTCTTCATTTCCATTGGGTTAAACTCTTCATTTACAACAATAGCCTTTCAAATTTTGTCTGATTTTTTATAATTGAAAAACTACTATATCTTATTATGATTACTCAGATAGGTCCAGGTTCAGGTCCAGGTTTTGTAATAAATAAATGTTAAAAGCTAAAAACGCGCGTTTCCAGAATAAGCCCTGGATGACGGGGGTGTTTTTTCTTTTTAACTTAAAAGCGACTTACACTAGAACGCTCAAACTTCTTCACTTTTTCACCTTCAAAGCCATTGAAAAATAAATTATATATCACGTGTCACACTCACATGTTAATATTTGTCAAAAAAAAAAAAACTATTTTTCTACATTTTTCAGACGTACTTCTTGAACTTTTTTACCCCCCTCTAGCACCCTAACCATTAAAGTCAAAGGTCTAGTTTTTTAATGGGAAGGGCTTGAAAAGTTGGACTTAGAAAATGTATCACACTCCGTAATTCACTCACAAAGAACCTCCAATCTATATTGGACAAATAAGCCCAATAAGAGTTAAAATAAGAATTGTTCTATCTGTGAAATCTGTGCTTACCGGAGCTCACATAAATACTTAGTAAATACCCATCCTGTCTTCTTCTAATCTACAGAAAACTACCTTGTTAACAAATTAACATAACTTGACAATTAAACAGAATATTTAGGAGAAAGAAAAACATTAATTAACAAAATAGTAAATATAACTTTAGTGTTTAGCCAACAAAACATAATATACGTGGTTTTCAAGCATTTAAATAAAAATTATCAGTTAATCAATCTGCAATAAAAACATTCATTATGTCATCTTTTAAACCATCTGATATTATTCTATTTACCTCTGAAATTATATGTTTCCCTCCCTTTCTTAAAGGGAGTGACCGGCTTTGTAAAGTAGTTAAACTGAGTATGCAGTGTTGTGGAAAACTTCTTTCGGATTCATTTGAGACATATAAAATTTTTTAAAGATTTCTAAATCCTGAGTTTGAGCGCAAATTCGACGTTCCAAACTCCTACTTTGGGGGTGGATACGTTTTTAGAATTAGTTTCTCTTTAATTATTAAAGAAAGAAGTTTTCCACAACACTGCATACTCAGTTCAACTACCTTACATAGCCGGTCACTCCCTTCAACATTTTATCTGGGATATTATGTGTTAATCCCTTTCTTAACATTTTATCTGGGATATTATGTTTTACTCCCTTTCTTAACATTTTATCTGGGATATTATGTTTTACTCCCTTTCTTTACATTTCATCTGCGATATTATGTTTTACTTCCTTTCTTAACATTTTATCTGGGATATTATGGTTTATTCCCTTTCTTAACATTTTATCTGGGATATTATGTGTTACTCCCTTTCTTAACATTTTATCTGGGATATTATGTTTTACTCCCTTTCTTAACATTTTATCTGGGATATTATGTTTTACTTCCTTTCTTAACATTTTATCTGGGATATTATGTTTTACTTCCTTTCTAAACATTTTATCCAGGATATTATGTTTTACTCCCATTCTTAACATTTCATCTGGGATATTATGTTTTACTCCCTTTCTTAACATTTTATCTGGGATATTATGTGTTACTCCCTTTCTTAACATTTCATCTAGGATATATGTTTTACTCCCTTTCTTAACATTTTATCTGGGATATTAGTGTTAATCCCTTTCTTAACATTTCATCTGGGATATTATGTTTCAACGCCTTTCTTAACATTTTGTCTGGGACATTATGTTTTACTCCCTTTCTTAACATTTTATCTGGGATATTATGTTTTACTCCCTTTTTTTAACATTTTATCTTGGATATTATGTTTTACTTCATTTCTTAACATTTTATCTGGGATATTATGTTTTACTCCCTTTCTTAACATTTATCTGGGATATTATGTTTTACTCCCTTTCTTAACATTTGATCTGGGATATTATGTTTTACTCCCTTTCTTAACATTTTATCTGGGATATTATGTTTTACTCCCTTTCTTTACATTTCATCTGGGATATTATGTTTTACTCCCTTCAACATTTTATCTGGGATATTATGTGTTACTCCCTTTCTTAACATTTTATCTGGGATATTATGTTTTACTCCCTTTCTTAACATTTTATCTTGGATAATTGTTTTACTTCCAATTTTCCATTTTTCAATCAGTTTTATTTCCTCCGATTAAAATGTTTACCTCCGATTTCGTAAAGAGCTCCTCCGAATACAGGTCCTACAATTTCTCCTATAAAATAAGAATTTATGAATTAATCTACAACAATCTGCTTTGCAGTTATTTTGGAAGCTATAAAGAATTATTAATGCTCTTGAAATAAAACCTATTTCCTATTCTGGATATATATATATATATATATATATATAACCCCTTTTTTATTGGAAAATGTATAGTAAACAATTAATAATTTGATAGTTTTGAATGTAAAGTACGGTTCCAAAATGATGCCGCAGAAAACATCATGTTATTGTACACATGAATAAAAAAGGTTTTTGATGAGTTTCTGAAATATTTAAGATTTGATATATTCTTAATAAAAAAATCCACCAAATTATGGAGCACACTGTTAGAAAAGCGTTAAAGAATATACCGATCAAAGATAGTTCGATCACTAGAACCCTGTCACCCTGTGATAGAATTGAGAGTTTTACAAATATGCGAGGTTTACAATTAGTTCTCCGACCATTTGACCATTTAAAAGTACGAATCAAAATATTCCGTAGAGTGTAAATCATGGAGTAGGTTTAATGTCTGTGGCTTGGCAAAATAAAATTTTTAAGAATAACTAAAAACTGTTTCTCGGGACATAACGAACTTTTATAATCTCGAGTTAGTTATCATATATCATTTATCAGGTTATATACAGGGTGTCCCAATAAATATATATGTATGTATTATTTATTAACATAAACTAACAAATTCTTAACTTTTATGGCAAACCTCTACGGATTATAGCTTTCCTAGCATAGGTATTATCCATAGAGAATAGAATATATAGAGAGGAATTAAAAGAATCTCTCGGTATGAAATTTTTCAGTCCCTTTCAGCCTGAAAGGGAGTTCAAAGTGTACAAATCATGTAAATGTTCACAAATTATATGCCGTAAAGTATATTAATACAGTATGTTCCCTAGACTATCCATTTCGATTTCGAATTTTTTAAACTGTTAAATAAACTTTATAATGAATTAGGTGAATAAAAGCATCATTTGATTTATAGTTATAACGGAAAATCATCGTTTGTAAAGTGGAAGGCATAGAGTCTATGTGAAATGATCATTGGTCAATTATGAAACCAGCCTATTTCATAATTTGGTTTTCTTTTAACAATAATTTTAGATTTTCTATAAAATGATATTCCAGGGCCCAACAGGTTATATAGCATAAATATGTGAAGTACACCTGTAGTATGGAAACAGTACAACAAAATGGCCGTTTTACACTTTTTTCTAGTAAATTCCATTCTAATATACATTCTATTCTCTATGGTATTATTACACTAAAAAAAAACATTTAAGAGGATGAAATCAAAATCGTAACTTAATTTCCACGTTTTTGGGGGGACACCCTGTAGATAAATAGTAAAAGATATATTCCAGTCTCGTAGATATCTCATAATATAGAAATATACAAGATCTAAACTCTATCAGGGTTTAACCTAGATATCGGAAATTCACAAATATTCACAAATATATGTATTTGCATATTTGGGGTTTCGTGTATGGTTTATACAGACAATTCATTGTATTGTAATATTACGGTTAAAGGAAATACAAAGCGTAATGTTTAGAGATGGGCGCATTCACATATTTTCATTTCGTTCGTTCATCGTTTGTGAACAATCCATTTAGTTTTTTTCCATTTGTAAAAAAAATTTTTGGTTCGTTTTTAAAAATATCGTTCATTTTCCATCTTTAGTAAACTCGTTCGTTTAATAAAATCGTTCGTTTAGAAAAAAAGATAGTTTTTTATTAAAGTCTGTCGGGAAAAATTGTTCATTCTGCAAACAAATTTTAAAAAATGTATTCCAAAAAATCTATAGATTTGGGAAATTCGTTCGTTCAATAAAAAAAACGATCGGATTTTCAATTACGTTACGATTTATATCGTTTGTTTTTAGTTTTTTTTCGTTCGTTTTTGTTTTTTCATTTCTCTGAACAAGTCAAGTCGCTCGTTTCAAAAAAATTAAGTCGATGTTATCTTTAAGAGTGCAAAACTTCTTGCAAAAGGAATAATCTTTATAAAACCATAGTTAAAGAAAAAGATTATGTGTGCGTACTTCTCTACTTACTTTTTACTCATTTTAAAGGGAGTGACCAGCAATGTATGGTGGTTGAACTAAGATTCAGTATTGCAGAGAATTTTTAGGATTCATTTGAGACATATAAAATGTTTAAAAGATCTATAATTATCAATTTGGGTGGTTACGTTAGGAGAATCGGTTTTTAAATAATAATTAAATAAAATGATGAAAACGAAAAATTGATTCTAATATTTTATTGACAAATTTCTTTTGAGAAATGTGTTCCTAAACAATTAATTAGTTTACTATAGAATTTTTAATATATTTGTTGTTGTCTTGATTTAATGATTAAAATAAATCGACTCTGAAAACGTACCTACCTAAATTGATGATGTTGACCAAAGACTATGCGTTCAAACTCAGTAATTATAGATCTTTTAAACGTTTTATGTGTCTCAAATGAATCCTACAAAAATTCTCTGCAATACTGCAACCACCATGCCATTGCCGGTCACTCCCTTTAAGAGTGTACATTTCTAGCAAAAGATATAATCTTTATAAAACCATATTTTAAGGAAAGATTAGGTGTACGTATGCTTTCAAACATACTTTTTACTCTTTTATAAAATTCCATGAAAGAATAAGTATTTATTATATTTACTGAACTATAAATTCCTGACAAACTAAACTCCATTTTCCAGTTTAGTTTATAGAATGTTCAGTTTTCAAAATATAAAATAATAAAAATATTTTTTTTAAAATCTATAATAAATTCACCTTATTTTAACCATTTGATTGTCTAATAAAGGCCGGGGGGGGGGGATTGAAAATATTAGCACCTATTTTTTAGGCTCAGACGTTGGGGAAGGTTAACACAAATTTCAAAAAGTACGCCGTACAAAAAATATTAAATGTTTTTATAGACATATAGTTAGGTATGACATATCATGTATCAAATTTTTAAGCACTTTCCGAAAATGTAACATTTAGATCGATCGAATACAATTATTTGGAAAGATAATCCATCAATAAAACTTAAAAATAGCGAAATTTTATAATATCCTTATCTTATACGAAAAATCTACATCTAAAGGGGGAAAATGGGTTCTAAAGTTAAGACTCACTGGATTTTTAAACTCTAGTTTACTGTGATCTTTAAGTGGTAAGTTGAATTAATTGTTTTTCGAAAAATTTGGGTAGTCTGTCTAATTTCAGAAAGGTTCAGAGGCTGTTCAAAGGAATTGAGCCTTTCCCACAAACTCGAATTTTTAAACATCTACATCTTTTCAACCTAATAGCGTAATCCTTTGATATTTCAAACTTAGACTATTTGATCTAACAGAATGCATAGTTTGAAATATCTAAGTTCTACGACATTTGGTTGAGAAGGTATAAAAATTAGAAAATAAGATTTTGTTGCAAAGACTCATTTCCTTTAATGAATTTGAGCCGCGTCAAAAATCCGCCCAAAACTGGTTTCAATTAAGCGCCGGCTTAAATCTTGAAAATTAAATACGATTTTAAGTGGAACCAACCATATTTGAGCAGCGTCTCAAATTAAAGCCGCGACTCAAGTTCGGATTCTCGATTTATTGTTTATCTAAAAGTTTGGTTATTCTGTCTTATTTCATAAAGGTAAACAGTCCCTTTAGATTGATTAGATTAATTAAACCAGTGTACAATAAAAAGACATAAATAGTAGTTTTAATTAACTAATGAACAAGGATTAACATCTCTTTCTTCTTTGACCTAGAAAACCTTTGCCGTTAATAAGATAGCTTTTTTCCCATACGTTAAAGAAGTATTCGCGAATAAAAAAGCTTTAGAGGAACCAAAAGTTAGATATAAATTGATTAATTGATTATGTTCTTTTGAAAATTCGCTTAATGGCAGAGCAAGAGGATCATAAAATTGATAACTCTGAGGCCGAATTTAAAGAATTTGAGCCGTGGCTTAAATATCAGACGCAGCTCAAATATGGTTGGTTCCACTCAAAATTGTATTCAATGTTTCAAGATTTAAGTTGGCGCTCAATTGAAACCGGTTTTTGACGGATTTGAGACGCGGCTCAAATTCATTAAATTTGGACTCTGTACTCTTTGTGCGATAAACATTAAACACTATCCCTTTTTTTGACAAAATGACGGAATATGATAAAAGAGTTTAAGAAAAGATAGTTTCCATCAAAAAAGAACTTTGTACATCTTCTATCTGTAGACAGAAGAAACTATATGGTCAGGATATTTAAGCTGTTCTATGCATTCTCGCTTGTTAACAAAAAGCCATTTACTTTGATTTTAAATACAAAAATTATGGAGGGAAAAACTAATTTTCCATTATCCTTTAACCCAGGGACTTCGCAGTCCCCCTGGCCCTCTTTCTTCCACATGCACTCCCACTCCCCCCGACCTTCTTTATTCCCCCTGGACCCCCTCACCCGCCGGCACCCCCCCATATCTTCCACCTGCCCCTCTTTAAACACTCGAGATATTGATAAAAAGTAAAAAACCCGATTTTCAGGGCAGTACACTTCGATTTATCAAACCTGACATTGCTTCCGCTAGATTTAAAGTGAAAAACAACCAGATTAAGATTCCTTTACCATCTTTAAGGGGAAATGGTACAATATTCTAATAATATGCACTATATAAAGGGAAAATGAAAATGATTTCGAGTGACTTTCTATTTTAAGAATAACATGTCGGATTAACAACGTTAGCTATGATTAGGATCGATAATCGTTTTTAAAGACGATCGTTTTTCGTTTCATTTTTTTAAACGATCATTTCGTTTTTAGAAAAAGGTATCGTTTTTGAAAACGAACAACAAGTATTGAACTCTAAAAAACGAAAAACTATTGTTTTATAAAAAAATCTTTGCTAATAAATTTGAGTTTAATGACAATTAATTTGGAGCAGGAGATAGGAATAAAGGGAAAGGAAATGGCGCTGGTCTGACATGAGAATAATTAAGCTTGAATAACGAGTAGTTTATTGTAAACTATAATCAAATTATATTCTTTGCATGACATTTTGGCTTATAGCGTTGACTCAAATATATAAATAATATATTACATGTCTATTAAAGTTATTTTTAAGTAAACAATTAAAAATAAACATATGTACTCTCCTAGACTGTACAAATACCAAGATCATGGACCAAGATTCTTATTTACTGAATAGACCTACAGTACTCGCCTTCGGTTCGGTATTACTTACACACACTCTTTTGGTACTTACACACACACATGACGTTTCCGTCTCCTGATTTCAAGTTATTTTCAGGAAGATAAGGTTCTGATTGCCTAAATGTTTTTTTTTATCGAGACGAACCTGAATGCTTTTTGACCTCGGATCTTCTGACCAAAAAATGTATTTTCTCTTTAGGAGGTTGTTAACGATCGTTAACAACGGGTTTCGTTAACGGTTGTTAACGAAGGATTGTTTCAAAAAACATTCGATTTTTAAAAACTACCGCTTTTGAAAAACTAAAACTGTCGTTGCCTTTTTCGTTTTTTCTTCTTCGTTCTTCAAACGAAACGATCGTTTTAATAAAAAACCAAAATTAAGCTTTAAATGGTCAAGAATTAATAGGATAACCATGATTTGAACTCTATACTTGACTTAAATCTAAAATGAATTAAAAGGACTTGTGCAAGCTCCTCTTTTTAAATTATAAAAATACCTATTCCGAAGAAAAGCTCAATCAATGCAAACATGGACGCCACATTAGTTGGAAATTTTTGTGCTATAGCGCTGAAACTTGCAGTCAAGAAAGCTGCATTTCCGCATCCTTCAAAAATCCTAAAAAATGCATTTTTGTTGAAAAACAGAAAGAAAAAATTATTAGTGTAATATCTATTTTGATCATTGTAATGGGTATCATTAAGTGCGAAAAAGTTGCTGCCGGGACTTTTATTTTTGCTAGAAAATAAAAGTTTTTTCACACCGAACGCAGTGCGTCTCGCACGCATGTTAACCCATTACAATAACATATATAGTCATATTCAAGTTTACTAAACTTATTAATAGAAGGTCGATGAAATTAATTTAACACTTTGTTGTAGAGTGATAAAGTAACTTTATCACTCTAAAACAGAAAAATTTAGGTATGAAAATTTAAATATTTATAGCAGGGTGAAAAAGTTACTTTTTCGCACTGTTGTCGGGGGATAAAGTCACTGTGTCACCCTCCAACGGGAAATATTCGGTGAAGTAATTTCCCTCAAAAGGAATCGAGTCTTTGCCACAAATTCAAATTTTCTAATTCCTATATCATTGCAATATGTTAGTGTTAACATTTGATATTTCAAACTTAGATTATTTGATCTAACAGAATTCATAGTTTGAAATAAGGTCTATGACATTGGGGTTTAAAGATACAGTTATTAGAAAATAAGAGTTTGTGGCAAAGACTCCATTCCTTTAATAAAATACCTTAGAATAAGAGAAAGTCCGAGAAACCACTCCCCAGAGTTCAGCAGACCTTAAAACGAACATTCTATGCATTATTTCTTTATGTAATTAAAAATTAACAATTATCTTCAATAAATTACTTCATTAAAAATATATTCACTGGTCAAGCGTTATTGTAACCTAATTAGTCAAAAATATAACTTATTAATACATTTTCTAAAGAATGTAATTATAAGGTGAAAGCAATAGAATTATTCTCATTATCTTTTAATTATCGTAGGTTAATTAAGCATATTAAGATTTTGCAATCGAAAAAAAATGAATTTAATTCTATATATTCAATAAATATGAAATATAAATAAACTGATTACTTGCCAAGGACTATAATTTTCTAACCCCTATATCTTTGCAACCATGAGGTTTACACCAGCAGACTGCAAAGATTAGATAATTAGAGTTTAAGGCAAGTGTTCAGTTCCATTGCACTTGAAAAACATCACATTTTACAAGGTTATAATGCAAGGAAAGTTAGTTGCAGTTGCGTATACTCTGCGTACATATTGAAACCAGTTCACTCTGGGCGGAATTTGTAAACAAGAATAGATGCATCAGTGTTCGTTTAGTATCCAAGGAGGTCAAAAAGGATTTAATTTTGATAATTTTGATAATTCACATAAGACCAGAATATTTCATTGATTATTCATGTGAAAGATGGATCCCATGTCAGGCTTCGACATCCGTCTTGTGTTTACGTTACCACCCAGAGACAGTACACTGCAGTACAAAAGATGCTTACACCTCTGAAATAAGTTTCTTTGCATTATAACCTTGACATTTTAGGAATAAATTTGTAAACATTTTGAAAAATAATTCCACTTATTACTGTAAGAATATAGAACCTACAATGGTAGGCGATTATATCAAAACAATGAAGACGAATCGTCGTCTTCATTGTATTGATATAACCGCCTACCACTGTATAATTACCCAGGCATCCATAAAGAATAAGAATAACTCCAACTAGTGCTATTCCCAAATTCAAGGTTCTCTAAATATAAAATTAAACTTTTTAAACTGGAATTTAATGCCAGAGGATTATAAACTTTGCCTCAACTAAAACAGAGAAGGTATAAATATATATTACCAATTATTCATTATTTTTGTGTAAATAATACATACATAAATTGTAATAATAATATTTCTTGGTATCGATAATGAGACTCCTGTTTCATATTGATGTTATTATAGATTTATCAATATATAAATGAATAAATATTAGAATGCATGCACATTTTTTTCCGTTTAAAGTTTTTTTATGTGTTTTTATGATGAAATGATTTTCTTTTTTAAAAATCTCCATCACAATTTCAATTACAATTTATATTGTAACGACAAAGCGCAAAAAAACTTTACAATGTACACTCAAATTATTATGAAAAGTATTATTATGAAAGAAGATTTAAGTATTCTCTAACATTTTACTATTTTGGTATCCCTGGTATCCCTGGTATCCCTGGTATCCCTGGTATCCCTAGCTGGTATCCCTAGTATCCCTGGTATCCCTAGTATCCCTGGTATCCCTGGTATCCCTGGTATCCCTGGTATCCCTGGTATCCCTGGTATCCCTGGTATCCCTGGTATCCCTGGTATCCCTGGTATCCCTGTTATCCCTGTTATCCCTGCTACCTTGAACTTTCATTAATAATTCATATATTTAGTAAGATCAATTATCCATCTATCATTCTAGTACTTCAAGTCATCCAATCCATTTGTTTACTTCCATTTAATCCATTTGGTTTAATTCCATCTATTCTTTCTTATGTGAATCCATTCTCTGTTTACAGAGGTAAGAATTAAAATAAAAAATTTATATTTTTCTTTTGTCCAATTCATTCAACATATTTTCTTTACTTTCTTTATCTTTGCTTAGCATTTCCCCCGATATGTTTATTTCCTTTATCTATTGAATAATAGGCTAAAAATAATTCAATATTAGTTCTCTAGTTTTCTAATGTCTAGTTTTTAAATTACACGGGCAACGCCGGGCACTTCTGCTGATCTCTGTATAAAGCTCTTTGCTCCTATGATAGTCAAAGCTGGCCAAACGGCTGGACCAAATTGGCTGATTATATTTGGGGAGTGACAAAGGCAAAATAAAAATGTTCTTTCAAAAATCGATTGTGCTTTCAAGACTCAACGGGCAACGCTGGGCCGAGACTTCATCTTGTATTTCCCAAATATAACCTTTCAAACTTTTTTTTAGAACTATCAAGCAACTCTTCATGTATAGAGTGGCATGGTCTAACTCACAACAGTGCCCTTACAAGTTTAATCCGATCAAGAATGAATTAGATGTCCAATGTTTATGTTTATCTGCTAGCGGTTTAATGGGGAAAAATTATCAGAATTAAACACTTTTCAAGCTAGAAAAGCAATGACATCTTCCACATTAAAGGGAGTGTTCGCGAAAAATAAGCTCTTTTGATCGCTAATAATCTTTCTTCTATCTGTTGTGTCTAAAAGGAGAAAATTGTTAAAAAACGACTTATACTTATTTTTTTTGATCTGATGGTTAACTTTGAAAACACTTATTCATGTTTCGAGGATTTTTGATAATGAAGACGACAGTTTTATATTTTCCAGGAATGTTCCCAAATCCAGCGCCAGCGAAATATTATTCTAAAAAACAAAATCAAAAATATTATAAAATATAAACTATATACGAATGATTCAAAAAATAATCGATGACTATTGTTTGTAATATTTGAATGATTTGTTTGGAATTAAATTGATTTGTTTACGATTCTAGTTGAATGTTGCATCTTCCTGAATTTGTATGGACACTACGTTCTATTGTATGAGTCGTTTTTAACAATTATCTCCTTATAGACGCAACAGTATAGAAGTAAGATTAGTAGTGATCAAAAGCACTTATTTTCGCCGTATGCCTATACCCCCTCTCATTTTTCACGAAAACTCCCTTTAATGGTCATATAAATGCCCATTTTTAATAAGGTCACTTTAAAAAGGTCACTTAAAATTCACACAACGGTCCCATTAAGAGCTGAAAGAAAGAAGGGCGGGAAGCGCCATACGTGTAGTCCTATGAGTTTTGTTTACCTTGACTCCCATTTTATTAAGATATGTTCCAACCACTAGACTGAAGAGACAGACTGTAATCTCGAATGCCCCGAACACTAAACCAAAATGCCAAACTTCTAAACCTTTCTTTACTGCTTCTCGTGGGTAGAAGGGGGCCTACAAATAACAAGATAATCATGGATACACACATAGCATTACAGAAGTTTACAATAACAAATGTTAAAACTGTCATCAGCTGTTGCCGAGACATCCGCGCCATCTTGTGTGATTTTTATATCTGAAATTAATTTACATTTGTTCAAATTTTAGAAACAAAAAACTTGTTATGAACAGTAACAGTAGAACAGTAGAACAGTAGAACAGTAGAACAGTAGAACTGTAGAACAGTAGAACAATAATACAGTTGAACAGTAGAACAGGCGAACAGTAGAACAGTAGAACAGTAGAACAATAGTACAGTAGAACAGTAGAACAGTAGAACAGTAGAACAGTAAATCTTTAGAACAGTAGAACAGCAGAACAGTAGAACAGTAGAACAGTAGAACAGTAGGACAGTAAAACAGCAGAACAGTAGAACTGCAGAACTGTAGAACAGTAGAAAAGTAGAACAGTAGAACAGTAGAAAAGTAGAACAGTAGAACAGTAGAACAATAGAACAGTAGAACAATAGAACAGTAGAACAGTAGAACTGTAGAACTGTAGAACTGTAGAACTGTAGAACAGTAGAAAAGTAGAACAGTAGAACAATAAAACTGTAGAACTGTAGAAGACGCAATATTGTGTGTTTGTGTTTATTTAAATTAATGACAGGATTATGGTGACATTGTTAAGTAAAGGACTAGGGCCTGGAAACATGCATATTTTAAAGGGACATAACGGCGATAAAAAGTTACCAATCTATCTTTCTAACTATCTGACTATCTATAATAAATATATATTTATATATGAGCAATAATTTTTTGTTTTGTTAATGAAAAAGGAAACTTGTTTGATTCTACCAGTTTCTACAGATTGGACGTTGAACAATTTTAAGTACTGCAATGTTGACTTGACAATGTGTTTTTGTCCGGCATTACCCAAATTTATTTTGGACATCTTTTTTGTCAATCACTCCCTTTAGGTTAGTTTTGATTGCCGATTGCAGAAAAAAAACATTGGCTCCTTAAGTTCTTTTGTTTTCCGATATCAAAAGTGGTTTAAAATGGTATTTCCTATACAAGATATCCGGTCGGATATTGTTGAGGATTCTATCTATCTATCTATCTATCTATCTATCTATCTATCTATCTATCTATCTATCTATCCTTCTATCCTTCTATCCAACTATCGTTGTATCTATCTAACTATCTATCTATCTATCTATCTATTTATTTTAGTCACGATATTCAATACATCCACGCTTTGAAAGCTGAAATAACAAGAAATGGGGTTGGTGCACGCAAAATTGCCGCTATAGTGATTTTAAATTTAACCAGATGCAGTCTAAAGTCTGACCGCGTCCAGCTAGTTAAACCAGCTAGCCCTGCCTACGTCAGCGCACAAAAAAATGTTGTGCCCCCCTTGGCAATAGGAATAGGTTCTGAAGAACTTTTCTCTGGAAATTCCCAGAATTGGTGACAAGAAATTCCCTGGAATTGGTTACAAGAAATTCCTTGGATATAGTTATGAGAATCTCCTCAGAATGGGTTACAAGAAATTTGTCGGACCTGGTTACAAGAAATTCCTCGGAATGGGTTACGAGAAATTCCTCGGAATAGCTGTCGACATTTTCACCGGATTTTCCTGTGAAAGATTCCTGGGAATTTCCGCGGATTTTTCGCAAAATTGTTACTTGGGATGTAGAACATTTTTAGGGGGTAATCTTTTAAAGGCGTTTTTGATATCACATTTTTGGTTTCATGCTGTTTTAAAGTAGGTTAACAATCCTTTGTTCAAATATTATTTCTTCCTTCCTTCCTTCCTTCCTTCTAGATAAATATCTATTTTAGCAACTGTCGAACGTCAATTTTCTTAAAATTCTTAAAATTGATAATATTTGTTCATTTCAGTCACAAGCTCTGCATCGCCTACTGCACTTTATAAACATTTTTATATTTTGATGAAACATTTCAAATTCTTTAAATTTGAAAGCTTAACTCTGATTTTTTTTGTTTGACCTTAGATGCCTAAACTGTATGGAAATGTTTAAAATAGCGTAGAATTCTTAGGTTAGGTTAAAGATTTAATTAACCCTATAAAGGCTGGGGGGTCTAAGTCATGTATAGCCTGGGGGGGGGGGGCCTTAGAGAATAATTTTAGGGTTGAAATGCATGTTCATAGCCTAATTTTTCAAGGCCAGCTCAAAGAAAAAAAATTAGACCGATAACTTTAATAGTTTGGGTGCTAGGGAGGGTTGAAAAAAATGCCTAAAAAAGGGTCAGAAAAATAAAAAAATATTTTTTTTTGTTTACAACAAATATTGAAGTGTGACACATGTTTTCATAACTATAGTTTTAGATCTGTAGCTTTAGTCACGAAATATTTTGTCGTCTTTATTTTATACTTTTAAAAAAAATCGATTCTCAAAACTTAACCACCCAAATGGATGATTTTGAAAATCAACTTTGCGCTCAAACTCAGTAATTTTACATTATTAAAACGTTTATATGAGTCAAATGTATCCTAAACAATTTCTCTACAATATCACTTTCTCAGTTCAACTACCATACATTGTCAATCAGTTGCTTTAATGTGAAAAATACAATTTAGCTATGGGATTGAGCTGCAGAACGGTTTTGTACTTTTATTTATTCAGTTTAGCATTCTATATTTATTCTTTTAGAATCTGTAATATAAAAGATTTTTAGATTGGCATTGAACCCCAAGTGTAATGATTTGAAAAGAAATTCTAGCATTCATTTCCACAATTTCATTTATACCTCGTTTACGTGTCCTGCATGATTGGAATAAACTACAGGTTTACCCACAAAGAATGAGGCTTTAATGACGACCTCAAGCTCTAGACATTTTACAATGAGCAGTCAGCAGGTTAGATTTGATGTTTCACTAGAAACTAGACAGAAGGGGTGGGTCAAATTTATGTGAAATAACTGGTATAAGTTTGTGACCTTGTAGCTTCTCTAGTTATGGTTAACAAATGCGACTGTGTATTCATTAAATTTGGTAAAGTCGTCTTTATAAATCATATTCTACTCTGTATTCTTTATGACCATGCAGTTAACATACAGTCTAAATATTCTAATCAATATATTTGCTAGCTGACTGTCTGTTTTTATCCAATAAACGTCAAAACGGCTGAACTGATCGAGGCCATCATTTTTTGAAAGATTTTTGAAATCTTTATCGAAAGCCTTTGTATTAACTTGAATATTCTAGGGCACATTTAAAGAAACAGATTTTTTACAATTTACAAAAATCTTGGCGACATTAAAAATAAAAAGTAAGAAAAAACAACGCGAATAATTCCACTGTTTTCTGGATAGCTCTAAATGTTAGCATCATGGAAAATAAGTTTTATTTTGTTTGGCAAAATAGTTCTTTGATAGGAGTAAGATGACAGTTGATTTAAGTTTACTTGACAGGAAAAAATAGATTTTCTATTTTTCTAAAATAGAAACACAGGTTTAAGGGTTCAATGCTTTACAATGGTCAACACCAATATCAATACAATATTGACGAATTTTAAATTAGAATAGAACTTGCAAAATCATTTTCAAATTGTGTTGCAAAGTCTAGTCTCAAACAAGGAGGGTATATCAGGAAAAAAGGAATTATAGTCTTTGCCACAAATCCAAATTTTCTAATTCCTAAATATTTGCTGATGCAGTGAAAACCTTTGATATTTCAAACTTAGATTATTTAAATTAACGGAATTCATAGTTTTAAATATGTAAGGTCCACGACATGTGGTTGTAAAAATATAGGGATTAGAAAATTATAGTTTGTGGCAAAAACTCAATAACTTTCTAGCAATTTTTGGAATAGGTTTATTTTTCTTGAAAAATTGTGTGTCCGGAATGTTGTCCATGATGATCAGAAAAATTGGTAGAAAATTCAACAGAAAAAATATAAAATTTGAACGTAACTAAAATTGCATAAAAAAGTTTAATTTTCCGTTTTTTTACGTTGAATATTTGCTTCCAAGGAACAAACCTTGAACTTTTTGCTCGATTTTTTTATGTTTTGATAAAAAACGAGGTTTTAATTTAATAATAATCCTAAATGGTTTGGTAGATTTTAATTTATCTCTTGTTAAGATAAAAACCTGACGATATCTCAATCTCTCCCATGGTTTCTAAGATAAATGTAAAAATGGCATCGTGGTGAATCAGGCAATTCTAAAGACAAAGAATCACTTGGAATTACGTCTCTTTAAGTAAAAATGCTGTGCTACATGATGTAAAAGATCTGGCTAGCTACTGGGTATATAGAAGATCTGTTAGATCTAGTTTGTTTTCCACTACTACACCAATCACATGATTATGCTCAGAGTTTACCACATGATTATAGTCGTATTTTCAACACATGACATCAAAATATATTTCAAGAATTTTCTAGACTTTAATTTCCTCTTTCTCTCCAATCGCATCGATTCATGCTGCTATAAAAACATCTCGGTCGACTTTGAAGTGTCGTAACGCCTGGACCTTTGATTTTACCTTACAAACTTAGTTATACTTTTAGGTAGCCCTAGACCTGAACAATTTAGAACTATTGAACACTTGAAATTCTCATCGATTTTTCCACGATAGCTGGATCGCTGTTCAATTCATACAAATATTGTAACTGTTTGTTTTCATTTGACAGGTTTGTTAGCCGGTGCCATGGATTTCATTATTTATTAATGTTCTTTAACTTTTCAGCCCAAACACGTAACTCTAGAACTCACTGATTTGATTTTTTTTTCTGTGCGTACAAACAAAATTTTTTTGAAAAAAAATAGAACAGGTTTCCATGACCACAAAAATATCTTTTTTAAGAGATTTATAATTTATTTAAAAGTTTGAATTTTAATAAAAATATATTTTTGAACATCTTTTTTATCAGTATTTATTTGTATTTCATTTGTTTTATCCGTTTCATCTGAAATATTAGGATTTAGCTGGCGACACATGTTTTTGTGTCAAATGTATAAATAAACAACATATACGCTCTACATGACTTGTAAAT